TCATGGTCAAAGAGGACCCTCCTTCCTCTTTCGGCAGAACAGTTCATTGGATCCATCCTCAAACTGCCAATTACACACAAGTTTATACAGATACCTAAGAAGCATCTGTGCAACCTTCAGATACAAACAACACTGTATTAAGTGGGGAAAAAGTTGTTTTGAGATCAAGAGTGAAGGCCTTGAAGTTCAGTGCTTAAGATACTCCAGAAAATATTCTCATATCTTTCCAACTTTCTACACAATATGTACAAAGTGTGAAACAAGCCTGCCAAATCCTTGAAGGTGACTATTTGTAGCTTTCTTTATCAATTTTCTTTCTCCAGCATAAGTTTGAGCTCCAGTGAGGTTTTGACAGCAAAGTGCCAACTGGGGGGAGAATAAAGTATGAGAGAGAATTGAATCTTAACCCCCACTCAAGTGTTTTCAAGGCTCATTAAAGAGGAATTAAAACACAAGTAGATGAGAATATTTGATTGCTGGACTGGGAGGCTTTAGTAAGCTCTGAGCTTTAAATGACATTTAGTTCTGCTTTCCTGAAAACATTTCAATTTTATATAAAAACAAGCCCGGCACAACACACCTGCATAATCACTCATCATAATATTTGAGGCACTCAGGTGGGCAGAAGACTTTACACATTTACTGGCATAGGATGAAGTTCTGAGGAAGTACAGGCTACAAGGAGCAGGTGGCTAAGCCCTAGTTATTATATTGCTGATTCCAAGACAGAGATGTTTCTATCAAGACAGCTTGGACGGCTTCAAAAGGGAATTAGATAAGCATATGGAGGAGAGGTCCATCAGTGGCTATTAGCCACTGTGACTAATCTATACCACAAGGTATAGATAGGGATCCCCAGACAGGATCACTGCCTTGTCGTGGCGAGGGGGCTTGAGCGGTTCGATGAAGCTGTGGGCTATGCCGTGAAGGGCCACCCAAGACGGACAGGCCACAGCAGAGAACTCAGACCAAGCGTGATCCACTGGAGAAGGAAGTAGTTCAATGAAGCTGTGGGCTATGCCGTGAAGGGCCACCCAAGACGGACAGGCCACAGCAGAGAACTCAGACCAAGCGTGATCCACCTGGAGAAGGAAATGGCAACCCACTCCAGTATGTTTGCCAAGAAAACCCCATGGACAGTATCAAAAGGCTAAAAGATATGACGCCGGAAGATGAGCCCCTCAGGTCGGAAGGTGTCCAATATGCTACTGAGGAAGAGCAGAGGGCAAGTACAAGTAACCCCAGAAAGAGTGAAGCGGCTGGGCCAAAGCCGAAAGGACGCTCAGTTGTGGATGTGTCTGATGGTGAAAGGAAAGTCCGATGCTGCAAAGAACAATATTGCATAGGAACCTGGAATGTAAGATCTATGAATCAAGGTAAGCTTGACGTGGTCAGAAATGAGATGGCAAGACTGAACATCGATATCCTAGGAATCAGTGAACTAAAGTGGACAGGAATGGGCGAATTTAACTCAGAAGACCATTATATCTACTACTGTGGCCAGGAATCTCGTAGAAAAAATGGTGTGGCCTTTATAGTCAACAAGAGAGTGCAAAAGGCAGTACTGGGATACAATCTCAAAAATGACAGAATGATTTCTGTCCGATTCCAAGGCAAACCATTCAACATCACAGTAATCCAAGTCTATGCCCCAACCACTGATGCAGAAGAGGCTGAAGTGGACCGGTTCTATGAAGACCTACAACACCTCCTAGAACTAACACCAAAAAATGATGTCCTCATCATCATAGGGGACTGGAATGCTAAAGTAGGAAGTCAAAAGGTAACTGGAATAACAGACAAGTTTGGCCTTGGAAAGCAAAATGAAGCAGGGCAAAGGTTAACAGAGTTTTGTCAAGAGAACACACTGGTCATAGCGAACACCCTTTTCCAACAACCTAAGAGGCGACTCTACACATGGACATCACCAGATGGGCAACACCGAAATCAGATTGACTATATAATTTGCAGTCAAAGATGGAGAAGCTCTATCCAGTCAGTAAAAACAAGACCTGGAGCTGACTGTGGTTCAGATCATGAGCTACTCATTGCAAAATTCAGACTTAAACTGAAGAAAATTGGGAAAACCACGAGGCCATTCAGGTTTGACCTAGATCGCATCCCTGATGAATATACAGTAGAGGTGAAGAATAGATTCAAGGGTCTGGATTTGATAGATAGAGTGCCTGAAGAACTATGGACAGAGGTTCGTGACATCGTACAGGAGGCAGCAATCACCACCATACCAAAGAAAAAGAAATGCAAGAAAGCAAAATGGCTTTCTGATGAGGCTTTACAAATAGCAGAGGAAAGAAGGAAAGCGAAAGGCAAACAAGAAGCGACAGTTAGAACTGGATATGGAACAACTGATTGGTTTAGCATAGGAAAAGGAGTACGACAAGGATGTATATTGTCGCCTTGCTTATTTAATATATATGCAGAGTACATCATGCGAAATGCTGGCCTGGATGAATCACAAGCGGGAATTAAGATTGCTGGGGAAAAGATCAACAACCTCAGATATGCAGATGATACCACTCTAATGGCTGAAAGTGAAGAGGATCTAAAGAGCCTCTTGCTCAGAGTAAAAGAGGAGAGCGCAAAAGTGGGCTTGAAGCTCAACATCAAAAAAACTAAGATCATGGCATCCGGCCCCATCACTCCTTGGCAAATAGAAGGGGAAGTCGTGGAAGTAGTGACAGACTTCACGTTCCTGGGATCCCAGATCACCGCAGACTGTGACAGCAGCCATGAAATTAAAAGACGCCTGCTCCTTGGGAGGAAAGCGATGGCGAACCTAAACAGCATGATAAAGAGACATCACCCTGCCAACAAAAGTCCGCATGGTCAAAGCAATGGGATTCCCAGTAGTCATGTATGGCTGCGAGAGTTGGACTATGAGGAAGGCCGAGCGCCGAAGAATAAATTATTTTGAACTATGGTGCTGGAGAGTCCCTTGGACTGCAAGAACATCAAATCAGTCAATCCTAAAAGAAATCAACCCTGACTGTTCCCTGGAAGGCCAGATAATGAAACTGAAGCTCAAATACTTTGGCCACGAAATGAGAAGGGAACGCTCACTGGAGAAGACCCTGATGCTGGGAAAGATTGAAGGTCAAAGAAGACAGGGACGGCAAAGGATGAGATGGTTAGACAGTGTCATAGATGCAATGAACATGAAATTGAGCAAACTTCAGAGGACGGCGGAAGACAGGAAGGCCTGGCGTGATCTGGTCCATGTCGGACTTGACTGTATGACTGAACAACAAAAAAAATCTGTGTAATTCGCCTTGAGTTCCACTGAGAAAGATGCACTATAAATACCCTAAATTAATAAATAAGAGAGGAGCATGTACTGTTCAGAACCTGTCATCCTTCTCTAATGACAGCATTCCTAGTGCAACTGGACCTGAACAGTTTCCCTAGCCCCCCCTCTGGGAACCCCTAAGTCCTGCCATACCTCCTCATGTCCCCAGAAACTTATTGGAGGGTGGCAGCTGAAGGCTTTTCTGCAAAACATTTGTGCCTCTCTGAGATGTGTGACACTGCTGCAGGAGTGCTTCTGGCACTAAGAGGTTCTCCAGAGCACCTGAATCTTAGGTATGGGCATCGGGTGCTCAGAAGTTCCATTATCTCTGCTCATGACAGCATCATGCGTACAAGACACCCTAAGACACAAAGCCTTGAGATGCTGCATTCTGTGGTCAGTAACACATTCATGAGTCTGCAGGGCACAATCCCTACAAAAGTAAGGAATATACACAGTAATGTTTCACATCTCTGTGAGTCTATCTCTGCCATCCGAGGCCCTTTGTCAATATTGATGACAGAGGTATTGTCTATATCTCCAGAAAACTCAGATGTAGGGGAAGGGAAAATATGAGAACTTTCACCTGTGACAGTTACTCCTTTTTTATGTATTTAACTTACCTGTCTCTTCAAAGGGTTCAAGGCAGCTTACAACGTCCATTAAAATACACACCAATAAACCAAAACCAGTAAAACAATACAGCAGTAAAACTAGTTTAAACTGTCGGGGTTTATAAAACATCAAACTTACTCATCAACAACTAGCAATCTAGAAAGCCTTGCAGTGGCATCGGAATATTAGCAGAACGCAAGAAGCCCTGTGTGACATATTCAGAAAGGCTGTTCCATAATACAGGGGCCACAGGTGAGAACACTCTGGTCCAGGCTGATGACTCAGTCTGCCTACATACTGATACTTTAAGCAGGGCTTGATCACAAGAGCCACCACACAGGAGTATATTGGGAGAGATGGTGCTGCAGGTATCATGAATGAATGTGGGCATACACAACTGAGCAACAGTTAGCACGGCTAGTTCTACGCACATATCCTTTGGATATTTTGCTAGTGGAGTATAGCTCTGATGAGTAACTTACATATCACATGCACTTTAGTGATTGGGGGAGAAATGTTTAAGTTCCTTTTTCAGATATTTGGAAAGCTTTTGTTGATTTTTTTTTGGAATGTCCAAAACAGCAGTTCTACTGTTACGATGCAAGATGCTTTTAATAATTAAAAAGTTGTATTAAACCATAAGAGAATATCTTCAGAGAAGTCATCTGTGCAGGCTCATCCCAACTACAAACTCCCTTCTCCCCCTGAGCCTCCTCCTAGTGAGAATACTCTGCCAAACTCACTACCCGGCCTCATTCTTGCCTCACTGATGCCTCTGGGTCCTGATTTTTTGCCTGCCTGAACTATCTCCCTTGCTTTTTACTGATGACCTAATTTCTGGGGTACCAATCCTGTTATCACTTGGGATGCTGATGCCCGCTCCCCCACAAACGGTGACAATAGTCCAATTCCTTACCTATCTCACAAAAGGCACTCAAATTTTACTGATGCTCAACCATTGATTGCAAGGATTTAATATTCAACAGAGTGAGGCCAATTCCAAGAATGGGCCTGCACTGAAGTTCTAGCTATGGGCCTGAGCTACAAGCTAGTGTACCTCACAACAGAAGTCACCCACCTGGGGCAGCATGCGATTTTCCTCCTCCAGCTGTCTTACTCTTGCTTCCAGCTGCCTAACATAGGACAAGGTTGGTTCTAAAATTAAAAAAGACAAAAGAAAAGAACTCATATTACACACACACACGCACACGCACACACATCTGCTTGGGCATACCCAAGGTCAGAAACTCCAGAAGACAGTTTCTGACTGCGTATATTGACAGCAGTAGCTGCTAAGTCTATTATATAAGTTTAAAATATTCTGTTTTGTTGCTCTCCAGGTGTTTATAGAGCCATCCAAGAATTTAAGCCCTGGTTTGAGCACTACAACTTTTTGTAGAGAATCTAAATTAGTGAACCTCAGTGGCTTAATTTGGAACTTTCAACTGGGTTATACAGAGTTATACTTCACAAATTATCTTTTTTCTATGTGCAACATTCAGAGACCATTTCTTTAAGATAGAAAAATCCTTGCAGGGGCAGTGATTCTGGGGCCCTCAGAAAAAGTCCAGGACATGGCCCCGACTCACTGCCTACCCCCACCCCTGCTGTCCCCATGAAGCCAAGATAGGGATAGCCTCCACGCTGTGCGAGGTGGGCAGGAGTCAACACTGCTACTGGACACGAGCTGACTGCACTCCAGACAGGGCCAGTGCAAGTGGCGGCAGAACCCTGCTGCTCTTCTCCCCCCCCCTCCATGAATGAGCAGGGCCATGGACAGTTGGGGCCCCCGTGCACAGGGCATGGAGCAGCTCATTGGCTAAGAACACCCCTAAATCCTTGAGGGTAATGCACTCTGATATCCCACTAAAAACTGGGAGGTGCCACTGGCCGTGATTCTGCACAGGCTCTGAGTGGTATTTTATTCTTTGGCATCCATGTGAAGAAAACGGAGGTTAGATTGGCTGGAGATTTAAGTATGTCCTAGCAGGCAAACATGTTTCCACACAGTTCATTTCCATGCTATGATCCTTGCTTCTGGATTTGAACTCTGGAAACACTTCTGCAGTCTATCTCGGATTACTGGGAGGCTTAGGCTCAGCTGCCCATTCCTAAGCAAATAAGTAGAAGGGATCATACCTGCCTGGGAGCCATCGTCTCAAACCCAGAAGTCCATCTCCAGTTCTAAATATCAGAGTGGTAGGATCTGCTTACTTGGCAGCAAGGGAAGGCATTCTACATATACTCGGAAGTGCATGCTCCCAAGTTGTTGTTTTTGTTCTAATCATTGCATGTGTTCGTTTCAGATCTGAGCTTGACTTGGAAAACAGGTCCCAGGGCAGCGGCTAGGCTGAAAACCTTGCTTAGATAAAGTCAGCATCATTGCTTCCTTTGTCTTAAATGGGAAATTACTTTTCATACAAAGGTGCTGAAAGGCTGTATCAAGGCCTCTTCTCACATTACACTTCCTAAGTGCACATCTGAGACGTTTTAAGAGCACACCTGACAAATTTGAGTGTGGATGTGGCAGACACATTTGCAAACACATATAACAGAGATCCACTCATCAGGCAAAGGATGTTAACTGCAGCTCTCTATGTAATACACAATTTGTTGTTGTTGTTCAGTCGCACAGTCAAGTCCAACTCTTCCCGACCCCATGGACCAGATCACGCCAGGCCTTCCTGTCTTCTGCTGTCCTCTGAAGTTTGCTCAATTTCATGTTTGTTGCATCTATGACACTGTCTAACCATACACAATAGTGACATACAAAAAAATGCGAAACAAAGAAACAAATTTGGCCCCTTCATATTTTATGATGAAAGTACTGCGAAGCATTCTGTATAATAGGTAAATGCTGTACCTCCTGATCCAAAACAAAGTAGAAAGGAGCAACTGGAGAGGCGCTCAGTAAGTATTGGGGGGGGGGGCAACAAGGCATCAACCCTGCCTACTCACTCCTCTCGTACAACTGACAGTCAGGTGACTGTAGCCTGATAAAGGAAAATTACTATCAATTCCACCTCAGCATAGGGGGCAGTCTTAGCCAATGGGTAACAGGGGCAGTTGCCCTGGGCCCCATGCTGTTGGAGGTCCTGACTAGTCAGAGCCCCATTCACTCCTATGGAGAGGGGAAAGAAGAAAAATATCAGGCTCCCACTGTGCCCTTTGCACCCATCCCATCCGAGGACTGGGAAACCAGCTCAGGAGCAGCTGTGCCTGCACCATCAGAGGCTTATACAGCTGCTGTGATGACACTCCATCTCCAGATCTTGAAATGAGGGCCTTAATTTCACACCCTACAAACGTATTTTGTTGTTGTTGTTTTATAGTTTTTATAACTGAGGTTTTGGGGACTGATTAAGTCTTCCAGCCCTCAATGGGGGCAATGCCTGGACTCTGGGTATCCCCCAGCATTCACCTGGCCTATTATGAGGGGATTAATGGCTTGAAGGAACCACACAGTAGGCTTGACGGAAACAACTAAGAGACAGATTCAGGTGTGTAGCTGTGTTGGTCTGGAGCAGCAGAAGTTTGACTCCAGTGGCACCTTTAAGACCAACAAAGTTTTATTCAGGGTTTAAGCTTTCATTTGAAGAAGTGTGCATGAACATGAAAGATTATACCTTGAATAAAACTTTGTTGGTCTTAAAGGTGCCACTGGAGTCAAACTTTGTTCAACTAAGAAACAGGTTTATTTCAGTGGTATGGTTGTTTCTTTGTTTTCCTTTTCTCCAGCCCTCTCACTATTACAGCAACATTTACTGGAGAGCTGGGGCCTGAGAAAGCATAACAGTTACAAAGCAGGTTTCCTGTTTGACTGATTCATACTTATAACATGGAGACTGAAACAGCACCCAAACCCTACCTATCTTTAAAATACTTGAAGTCCCTAATGGACTCCCTACCTAAGCAACAGACTCAGGGGTGTTGAACTCATTTGTTGTGAGGGCCAGATCTGACATAAATGAGACCTTGTTGGGCCGGGCCATGTGTGTCATAAAATGTAATGCCCAGTAGTGAAGATATAAACTTAATAAAGGACACAGATGAAGATTTTTAAAATAAAACATGCTTAAAACACTAGCATTCTTGCAATATTTTGTCTATTTAAGAGTATCGGATAACTGACACCTCTTGCTCTGAATTATTGCATCAAAATCTCTATGCTATAGCAATCTTGAGTATGCTGTTCAGGTGTGTATCTGTAAGCTGCAAACCTGCTTTTGATTTATTGACAGTCATTATAGAAATCTCATGCTTAGTGTTCTCAGCCTAGGACCCAGTGGAAAATATGAAATGGCTGGGCATTGCAAGTTTTTGTACATGTTGCTTAATTTTCTGGTCAAGAACATGAGAAGGCATCCTGACACAGAATAAGGGCTATTTGTTTGTCTATAAAACTATAGTCTTCCCCAGAGGAACAACTACAACTTCCTACAAAGGAAATGTGCTGGGTGAACTTGCTCTGGACACATACTCTCAGCCTAATTCACCTCACTGGCTTGTTGCTATTCCTCCTCTAAAATAGTTCACATTGTTTTCTTACTGAGAAAGACTGGATCATGAGAGCATGAACACAGTGAAAAGGGGGAGGGAACCCAGTTGTACCCAGGAGAGCCCTGGCATAAGGCCCCCCCCCCAAAAAAACCCCACGCACACAGAGCATAAGGAGCCCAACAGAATACACACACACTGTAGCGAGGCACACAAATGTTCATACCTTGAACAAAACTGCTGGTCTTAAAGGTACCTGGTATTTCAACTGTGCGATTGAGGCAGCCTAGCAAAGCAAGCTCTCCCTCATTCCCTTCCTCCCTGCCTCCCTTCAGGGAGAAGCCTCAGGAAAGAAAGGGTTCCCTTTGTCTCCTGTATAGGATTGAGACAGCCTGGCCAGGAAGTGAACTCTGTTTGGTTCCCTCCCTCCCTCCCTCCCCCTGGGAGGAGGAGGGGGAGAAGCCTCAGCCAGTGCTTTACCAGACTCTCTCAGTCGCACAGGAGAGGCTTGCCTATCTATCTCTCCTGTGCATTTGAGAGAGTCTGGGCAAGTAAGATGGGATGTAGGAGCAGCAGCAGTAGAACTGGAAAAGGAAGCAAGAAACAGCCAGGGCCTTGCAGGCCGGATTACGGCCCTCCGAGGGTCTGATCTGGCTCCTGGGCCACATGTTTGACACCCCTGGCTTAACTCTTCTCCCACCAGAAACCAACAATTCCCAACTTTGTCCTTTGGCTAGCAGTTAACTGCCAAACTCATCCCACTCCCCCCCCTGCAACATTCCAGTCCACCATTTGAAGGTGACTGGCTGAGGCTCCTGGAGGACAGAACTTGAAGGTGCATACAATAAAGAATATCTTGTATGACACATATAAATATTTCATACCCCACCCTACCTCCCAAGATTTAGTGTTCCTTAAGAATGTTAGAATTGGGGGAGGGGCATGATTTATTTCCCTATGCTATTTACATTTCATTTTGGAACCATCATTTCCAGATTGGGCCTGCAGCAGACTAACTGGGTTCTTACACCAAGAGGGCAACTGTTGTGTTTAAAAAGCAGGTCTGTGGGCAGCAAAGCCATGAGCTCAACAGACCTTAGTAGGTCTTACTTTTGCTGCTGAGTTGGCTGCTCAATTATATCCAGATCACCTCACCCGCCAGGCAGCCTATAAAATAAAAATGAATGGCAGATGAGGCTTCCCTCCTTCCCATTCTGAAGCTCACTGGTGATTTAAATATGCACTCACACTGGGAGTGCGTGTGAATTGCAAAACATAAGAAGGCAATCTACAGCGGTTTGTCGGAAGTGATTAAAATACAGTGTGATACTGAACTAAAAATAGGGCAGCGGGACAACAGGGAAAGAGGTGATTCAAGGTACTGTGTGCTCTGCTATGCAAAAATTGTCATAGCAAGTGATGGATGAACCTGTGACGCTTCAGAAATTAGCACACACAGCCTGCAAAGTTTTGCTAAAGTAGCACCACTTTCTGGATGGCTTTAAAGTTGGGAATTACCGAGCTGTTCTTCTGATACTTCTAGGCTAGATAATTAAGTAGATCAGTCCTTTATGGTTTCCACTAGAGTGCTATTAATTTGCCTGAGGTGAATCAAAGGAATCAAAGGGGAAAACTCATGACAGCTAAATTTCCCATAA